ACATATTTAAAAAAGATTAATTAAAAAAGCTCGTTTTTATTTTAAAAATAAAAAAAATTATTTAAAATAAATTAAAGCAAACATCCACTATATATGCATGTATAAACTATGATGACTAGTAAAATAAGTAAACTAGCATCGATTTTCACATTTGTTTTTGCGAGTAAATGCTTAAATATAGAGTAAAACTCGTTTAACAGCTAAATATCCTCTCCATTACAGTTTTTTCTTCTTCTTTTTCACATACTCATTATATCCAACTCCAATCATCATCCTTAAGTTCAATATTTTTTTACGGTGTCCTTAATTTCAATTTTCGAATACAGAAAATGTTACGTTGCAAATGAAACTCATATCCAGATTTTAATTAAACTGAACAAAAAAATCGAAATCTTCAAAATAATTTTATGTAAATTGTTCATTTGAATTTCCTAATCGTTTTTTCTGGCTTTAATATGTTGATTGATGTTCCCATAATTAAATTAAACTAATTGTAAAAGGTTTATTTGATTTTTTTTTAATTGAGATAAGGAAATGAGTATTAGTTTAAGGTAGGAAAAGTTTTTAAATTCAAAAACCACTTTTATGGAGAACTTCCTCCACCTTTATAGAAATAAGTGAAAATTTAAACAGTAACTTATCAAATTTAAGATTTTAATTTTAAATTCAAGTCTAAGATGAATTGAGATTAATTATTTGATTAGACATTAGCTTTAATATTATCTCGCACGTACTATTATTTTTTGTAGAGCCATGTTCTTCCTACCCTTTTTGACATTTCTATACTTTATTTTTTAACCTTATTCCTTTTCAATTAGGCTCACTAATGCTGGCTACATAGGTGATAGTCTAAATCCAAAATTAACTTCTTTTAAGGAGAAACCAATTTACTTTTATATAAAAAAGCATCAGACAATATAGGCTGTAGCAGAATTGACAAGTTTTAGTAATGACATCGTTTAGAGGCAAATAATGGTGTTGAGGATTAAACAAATCTCTGGATTAAGGTCTCGGCAAACAAATAAACAAAATTTCTTCTTTTTCACCATACTAAAACAAATTCCCCTTTTGGGATTCTTTTTAACCATCCTTTAGTTCAGTAAAAGCATGAGTACATGCAAATTAGGGGTGTTATTGAATTTTCAAAAACCAATCTAAATCCATTTATAATTCAATTATATAAATTGGATTATAAACTAATCCATTTTAATTTTTTTAAAACCAGTTTAAATTTGATTTTAAGAATATACTATAATTTTTTTTATATTATTATTAAATTATTATATTAAAACATATTTAAATTTTATAATAAATAAAATAATATTATGTTTGCATATATATATATATATATATATATATATATATATATATATTTGTTAAGCATCAACATTCATTAACGATAAAATATAAATACAATAAATACTTTAATCCATTACGTCTCTAAAAGAAATTAATAATACATGTCAAAAAAATATTCACATATATTTTAATTTATTAATAATATTTTTAATATTTTATTAAAATAATAAATATTTAGATATATTCTAGTTTTTATCATCTATTCATCATACAAATTAATTATATAAATTAAATTTTAAATTATTTTATTTTATTTTATTTTTTTAATCAGTTCAAAAATAATTTTAAAATTTAAATTTAATTTAAAATTAATTTTAAATTCAATTTTTAACGTAAAATTAATTTTCAATACATTTATAAATTTTATTTTTAAGGTAAAACTAATTTGTTATATAAAACGTTGTATTAAATTAGTGCATTTCAAAAATATTTGAACAATATTTATCAATATATTATATTTTATAGAAGTGTATAAAATATTTATTATTTTTTTAACTTATTTTTAATAAATAAAGTTTATAGTGAAAGTTTAAATTAAAACCTATAAAAATAAAAATTAATAATATAAATAATAATAAAATTATTATAATATTTTAAAAAATTAAAAAGTAAACATAAATATAAAAAAAGTAGTAATTAATTTAAAAATATTTTTTATATTTTAATTTTAATTATAAGAATTAATAAAAAAATATTAGTGATAAAATATAGTTATAATAAAATTTTGTAAACTAATATAACACAAAAATTTAATAAGTAAATATATAAGGTAATAGTTTTATACATATATATATATATAGATTTAGATAACTAAAAAAAAATTCAGTTTTACCAATTACACAAGTACAGTTAATAAAAAAATTGATTTAATATGAATCTAGATTTTTAAAACCAGTTTAATATTAGTTATGGATTGTATTTGTAAAACTGAATTTTTTAACACTCCTAATGCAAATTAAAACTATATGATTTCGGTTTCCCCTTAATTATCCCTTTTAAAAATTAGTACTCATAATTTATATATAAAATTTTACGGTACATGTCTAATTTTTTTTGGGGCATACGTTGAAGTTAAGTTTTAGTGAAAATAAGATGAGAAAATAAATATTTTATTATAAATTTAGAAAATTATACAATATTTATAAAAAATTTAATACATTAAACTTATAATAATTTATTTTTTATTTTAAAATTATTAAATTAAAATATTTATTAAAAAATATACATTTTCTTCTCTTTTCTTCTCCAAATCTCAACTCATAAATATATTATAAATTAGATTTCAAGCTAGTCTTGTATATTTAAAAATTTTCTAAAAATAGCTAACTCCACTACTTTATAAACAATTTCAAGTCATAAAAAAACACTTACTAATTATTTAATTTATTATTCTGAATTTATTTCCTTCTACTTTAATTTAAAAAAATGTTAACATCACACTTTCTAATCATATATGAGTGGATTAAAAACTATCTATATAATATTTGGAATACTTACTAATCATAATTACATGACAAATGAATTTGAGAAAAGCAGTGATTGATTCAGTAATCTTCAACTATACAGTATTTGGTTTGAACGTAGTTGTGAACATACAGGGCATGGGTGTATATGGATTAGATATATTAAAATTTTACTTACAATTGAGTCCTCAAAGGAACGAACATGCACACTCCTCGGCAAGATTTTATCGTAAGTAATAAAATACTAATTTTACCCCTGCATGAGAATGTGACTTTATTCGGGAGCCTCGTGCATGCAACCTCAAACAACTCATTTTAGTATTATTCAAATCACATTCCCCTAAACTTCATTATACTTTGCAGTGTCGTAACGCCACTATCTACAATTCAATGGAGACCAAATCAGAGTTACACCTAAGTTTTTACGTAATAGTTATTGAATTTGAAATGCCAATTATATAGTATTTATTTTACTTTGTCTTAAATTATTGCTCTTTAATTCAAAAAGTGTGTTTTCTTATTGAAAACTTAAAAGCAAAAAAGTTTAAATTGTAAATCACTTAATTATAAAAATTCTGTTAGATAATTAGTTTAAAATTTTAATCTATAAAAATGATACACATGAACTCAAAGAGTGGGTAGAGTGAATGAGCATCGTCCTCTCTCTTAAAAGTTTTTGTAACAAAAAAAATTACACACATAAATAATTTTAGAATTTAATTTTAGTGCACTGTAAACTAATAATTAATTAAAATACACTTTAGATATAAAATATACATAAATTATTATAAAAAATATTTTACTGATAATTAAACAACAGTATATTTAAATTAAATTTATAATTTTATAATTTTACATTAACTTGTAACATTTGTCGTTATTGGGGTAATAAAGAAACGAAGACAGAAACACAAAACAAAATGGGGGTGTGTCCTTGCCAGTTAACCCTTTCTCGTATTTCGCATAGCAAACAGAAGCAAAGAAGAAAGCATAGGACAGAATGCGAATCCGGGGGCCTGCTTCTCAGTATTTATCTCTTCCACTCATGCTTTTCCCCACGTAGGAAATAAGTCTAGGTATATAATCAGATTTTATTAATAAAAATAAAATATTTATCAAATTAAAAATATGAAATCATAATAAAATATTTTATTTGTAAATAAAATTTTATTATTATTAAACATTTAAACTCTGTGACTTAAGCTAACATATCTGTATTTATTAAAAGCAATTGAAAGTTACTACTAGACAGACATGGACCCTGTTTTTCCCGTTCTGAAAGCCATACAAAAACGGAACAATGCCTTACTCTACATTCAGTTCAGAATCCTATTAAATATTTACATAAAAAATTGAAGAGTCGACAAGTTGCCACGGATTCATTGCGGACCGCAATCAATATAAGATAACTTAAAAAGAAAACTGCACACACATTATGGGGGTTCAAGAACCTTGGCAGCGAGCAGCAAACTTATGCTACCGCAGCAGCATTGTGAGACATTATATAAAACAAACGTATTCAAATTGTCTTACATCATGGTGATTCCGGTTCCGTCCACTAGTATTTCATAGAGCGCCGGCTGCAATGAAAGGGTTGCCATCGGATGGGAATGAGGAACTGTAACCAGCAATGGCTGAAAAGTTCACACTAGCAGAATTGCTATTTTGTTATCACTCGATTATTTGTTGAATTATTGGTATTTGCTATATGAACACAGAAGAAACAAAGGTGAATGACGACACACACACACGAGAATGCCACGTCACTTATCAAAATGTAAATTAATGTCATGTGAAGACCGAAGTGAAATTAAGTCACTATAACATCTTTAACAGTTTTTTAATATGTATAATAAATAATAAATTTTTATTCAGATTTATATTATTTAATATTATTATATTAAAGTTTATAATTTTTAACAAAAATTTATGGTGTATAAATATTTTTAACAGTTTTTCGGGCTTGAATGAAGTAAGCAGTATGGGATGAAATTTGGAAAGACTCTTCATTTTTACGATACTATCTTGGAAACAAAATAAAAATCTACGGTGTCGATGCTCACCGTCTTCACGATACTGTTTTCCGACACCCAGAGTTCCACATAGCTTATAGCTATAATCAGTGCAGATAAAGACAAACTTGAAAATATAACAGTGACCGTACTGGTAATACTCAGCCAACATGAATAATCTTGCTTTTGCATTTGAACCAGTTTATACACTGGCACTGACTTAACAATTGATTCTGAACACGTTCTGATATTAACAAATAACTATCCATCTATATTGCAACAAAGTTGACTTACAAATACAAATGGAAGTAATGAGCTTTTATCTATTCAGCTAGCTAAAAAGGGGCCTGATACACAAAATTGTTGGTAAAAAATTTAGTATCTTATCAGTCAATGAACTGCATCTATCACGGAACTGAGAGGAACTGTACAGTAAGCAGCTGAATTTGAACCTTCTGAAATCGATTCCTGATGAATTCAACACTGATAACGGCAAGGGCAAAAAGAAAAGTGAAACAAACATATGTACTTGACTGCAAGCTTCCATCAAGCTAATCATTGGGTGTAGTGATAAGGCAGTCCCTCAAAAGCTAATCAGTTGAAATTGTTTGACTGATGTCTTGTAACTTGCGTCTAAATGGGAAAAACAGTTGGAGCCTCCAGCCATGAAAATAAAGTCAGTGGGGTGTAGCACATCAATGTACAATCCTAATTTTAAGGGAAGACAAGCATTTTATTCGGAGCTTCCATCTACTTCCTATCTTTATTGTTTAGCTTAATTCCTAAAGGCAATAAGACAATCCAAAATTTCAGATCTTTTACATCAGTTAATATGTTGCAAACAAGTTACCTAGATAGTGAGAGAAATCTTTTAGGAGTAAGAGAACCAAATTAACACCCAAAAGTTTGAATCGATAAGTAATATGAACATCTTACACAAATTCCTAATTGCTTCAAGTAATTATCAACGAAAACTCTACTATAAAAATCAATATGTACACAGTTTATTCATGATCTACATTAATTTCCAATCCTGTTGTACTCTATTGGACCAAAATAGAGGCATATCATTTTCACCATATTAAAAAATCCAAGCAATTAACCATACACAGACGAAAATTAAGAATGTTATTGAGAACAATAATAAATTGTAGCTCAATGAAAACAAGAAGCCCATCACGATTCTGAAGATAGAATTGTACCTGATCATCAGTGCAAAGCGTGACAAAGACAACGCAGATTTCAACTACTTCCATGGCTGCGACAAAGAAACTACGGGAGTTGATGCTTGAAATCCTTCTTTACCATGTATGGCAGATTTCAGCACATTATATTGGTCCGTCACAGAATCGTACAGAGCCTTTGTATATACCTCCTTAGCCTACATAGAAAATTCATATTGCACCAATCACGTTAAAGAAGTAAAAATTTTTAATTCAAAAGGCACACTGAAATTGAAGAGAAGCCCTCCTTTCACGGCCAAAGTTTAACTGGAATTTACGGGTCCAGCATCAACAATAACAATAACAAAATGCCACTACAACATCTATACTTAATGACATTAAGTAACCTCTCAGAAAAAAATTGGAGTCAATGGCAAAATAAGAAATTTAATTAAGGTTAAATTAAAATTTTAGCGCCTACACTAAACCTCATTTTTTTTTGTTTTAGTTCTTGTATGAAAAGCTTTACATTTTAATCCCAACATAAAAAAAAAGTTTTTGAAATAGTATTTGCCGTTTGTTGTTACCATAGCATGAGATATAATCTCTATAGTTGATAATATTTTCCATTTTAATTCCAACATAAAACAAATTTACATTTTGTTTTAGTCCCTTTATAAAAAAATATCTTCATTTAGGCCCTAAACTTAACAACACATTTTCAATTTAGTCCCTATAGAAAAAAAAAATAAAAAAAAATCTAACACTGTTATAATGTCCACAAACAGTGGGGACAAACTTGTAAAAACATTTTCATTTAAGGACCAAAATATAGAGCTTTTTCTTGTAAGGATTGAATCAAAAAACAGTGTCAAGCGTAAGGAGTAAAGTTTTAATTTAACCTTTAATTAATTACTGAATTGGAAGGCCAGGTGATCAACTTCAACTTACCATATCAGAATTTTCACAAGCAGCAGTGGTTTCAGAAAAGCTTATCTCTGGAGCCACCGATATCCCAGCCCCATGAAAGGATATAAGTCTTTTCTCCCCAATTACTTTTTCAACCTGCAAAATCACATTGTATCAATTAAAAGAGAAAAAAACAAAGGCAGACTCTCCAAGACAAGAACACCATACCTTTAGTGGAGGGGGCATTATATCATGGCACAATATTGCCAAAGGATATACATGACCCGGTGGACCAGAATGTTCGACAAGCCTTCGCATATTATCTACCGAAGAAGAATCAAAGTGTGCCTGAATAGTAAAACACCAAAACATTATAAAATTGGACTACTTACATGCTTTTCTGAAAGTACAAAATATATTTATTTTCTGCACAAGTCTCAATGTTGCCTTTTTATACGACTACTAGCAAAATATAGAAATAATGTTTGAACATTAATTTACACCGGTACACTGACTGCATTCACAAACAAAAACATTGGATTTATATAAGTAGATATATACTCTATAATTGCAACCCTTTTTAAACTAAAGTTTTCACCAATTCATAACCTTAAGGGTAGCAACCGAGCCTTGGACCTTGAACACAATCCTTTACACTTCTCTTCCTATGTTTACATCCTACTTCTCTTAACTCAACATAAACTGAGAGTGCGTGCAAACAGTACAAGTTTATACAACCTTAAAATAGGTATAGCTTTCACATAAAACACAGCAAGTGAATACAGATAACCAAATGAGCATGGAATATCATTATCAAGAATCTGTTTTCAAGTGAAGCAATCACAAGGTAATAGAACTAACCCAACTAAATAACAGAATGGTGTAAAAGAGAAGAACTCAATATTTTCACTCCCCCTGCCCCAAAAAAAAGACAAAAAATCTATAGCCCATTGGCAACAATTCACCCTTGTAGTTTACCCCAACTAATGGTACACGGTTCACTGCTGTTGTAACAAACACTGGAGTTCAGATTGCATTTTAATTATTTTCAGCAATAAAGGAATTCACAAAGCAGCATTTGCAAACAACTGACTTGCTTAAATAGAACACTAGATATGACTCCTGTCCTGTCTGCTTCTAAAAATGGTACCTCATATCTTTTTGTAAGCATATAAAGGAAGTAACCATAAGGAGCATGAATTGGAGTACCCTTCTGGAAGTGTAAAAGATTCTAGTTCTCAATGCCAATTACAAATCATTTTTTCTTCTATCCAGTAAATATCAAAAGTTATATCTGTTTTATGATAGATTTAAAATATGACAAGTTTGATTAAACTGAAATGAACTTTGTATTTTACTTCAACAAGAAAGTGAACCTACCGGCACCCATTCTTTGGTGTGGGGATCTGGTCTATCCCTACCACCACTAGGGGCAATCCAGACTATCTGTGATCCACTCCTGTACCAAAAAGCAATGTAATAACAATGAAATGGCAAGATAATGAACAGTTGACCAACCAATAAACATTACTTACAAAAGATACCATCTAAAATACCCACTGCTCCCACTTGTTCTTTGATTTAAGATTTTGATTTTAATTTATCTTTTTGCAGATTTCTAGAAATAATGCAGTCAAATCAATGCATTTGTGGTCTTAATTGAAATCAATAAGGTCAGCTAACAAATGTAATAAGGACCTTGTTTAATGAGCATTGCTTAAAAAATGAAGTTTTTTTTTTTTTTGGTATTTTTTACATAATATTTTTTTTTTCAATTAACACTTTCTAATTTTCTTTCCTTAACTAGTGTCATAAGGTCAGTGGTTAGTTTGCTTAAAGAAAAGCAGTCATTTAGCTATAAATTAGTAGATATACTTTAAAAGTACAGCCATTTCCTTCAAACTTCGTATATTTGCTTTTCTTTTCGTCTCTATAAGTGCTGGATCATCAAGCATGTGCTTTTTAGAGTAAACACAAATGAGATTCCTGCAAAAATAAAAATTGTAAGTAAATAGTTTCCAAAGTCAACTTATCAAAAGGAAATACATCAGCATAAATTTCGAAATTGATAAACAGAAGTTAAAAATGAACCTGCCAATACTGAAGGGCTTGCACATAGGATCGGTTATAACTCTATCTCCTGCTACATAGGTCTGTAGAACAAAAGCCACAATTCAATTACTTCAGCATTTATATAAACCAAGTACAGTCTGTGCTTTGAAAAAGCCAGGCAATCAATACATATGCAAATTTACCATGTTTTCAGCAATATATGGGAGTTGTGTTTCAAGCAGCAGTGCAATGATGGCTGGATCTGCTTCAGTTTGGTGATTTGACATCAAGATGATATTGTGTCCCTGCAGTAATTTTTTCAATCTTTCAAAGTTTTCTCCCACATCTATGAAAATGTTAACACGGTGCAAATATACACAAGAACATATAAATCAGAGTTGAGTTTGACATTTCAAGTAAAGTAGGGGAGATTTCTTTAATACACAAGGAATATGCAGTATTTACTGGGAAAAACTAGATATATATATAAGAACTGCATCAAAAACATCAACATAGTATCTAAATAGACATACTTCAGGCACATGACTGGAAAAAATATATAATCTTTATTATCATTCTTTTTCGGGTTTTCGTGTATAATAGTATGCAGATACAAATTTAGAACAGTTCATTCAAAGAGCGATGAAAATTGAAAACAATCAAACAGTCACGTTATTTGGGTCAGTTATGACAATCTAGATCAAAGATTGATGTATAGGCAATCTGCCTTGATTCTTCTCTATATGAGCCCAACAACCTAAAAAATATCGATAACAAACTCTCTCACTAAACACTAACAGATTCATTTGCCATAATCTGCACAGTAGCATTTAAAATAGTAAGAAAGTTACTATGTATATGGTCCTCAACTTCAAGACAAAATGCTTTTACATGTGACATATAAACTCCTAGTATGTTGTACCTGTAACTCAAGCATAGATACCAACTTTAGGATTAAGGTAGACACAATAAAGGAGGAATATTAACTTCTGATTATTACCCTCATCTTACTTGTGAAAAGGTTACTTAAAAATGCTACTAATATTTTACCACAAGCAAAAATAATCCCTGAATATGAAGGATACGTGTTAGAAATTGGCACCTGCTTAAGTTTCTCTTCCATTTCAATGAAAAGGGGCATGTTGCCAACATAAGATTTTCTGCAACAAAAATAACACATTTAAGAATAGCTATGAGGTGCAGCCAGATGGAATTGACATTGTTCTGATATAAGCTGATTATAAATGGGTCCTTATGTGCCATGAATATAAATGGCATATACAGTTTGCTACGAGCCAGGATTATAATTCTGGTAGTGAGACAGGGAAACCTGCTTCTGAAGTAATTGTCATGGTTCCAAATTTTTAAATTGAGCACATGCAGAAAAGTGAACAATAAATTCACTCAAAACCAAGAGCTTTGCCTTATTTAGATACAACTAGGAAAGATCAAGCTAACTAAAGATAAAACATCTGTTAGAGACAAGTTTCCAGAAGCTCTTGGTCACACAAAACCATATACCTTATCAACATCACACAAAACCATAAGTAGGGAGTTACAGCTGAACAAGTGTCATCTTGTCTGCATGCATCATAAAATCATGATAGATCTACATTTGAGGAAACACAGAAGACTGAGAATGATGCCAAGTAAGAAGATGTATGATAATTCCAATGAGGTAAAAGAAACTATGAGCAAATTTTCAACTAAACATAAATGTAATTGAATACTGATGGACACCCAAAGGTGGGGCCTGATGGGCCTCCAATCCATGTTAACAAGAGAAATAAGAAAGGCAGCAAAGGAACAGGCAGGAATGGAAATGTGTTGAAGTCTGTTAGGAGGGAAAGAGAGGAGTCTAATAGAGAATGGACACTTGGCAGCAGGAGATTCAAGAAGGGGGCATGGGAAGCAAGAGAAGAGTTGAGGAATATGGTGGAGGGAGTTGGAAGCAGGGGAGGTGTCAAATCAGTGAGTGAAGAAAATTCTGGGAGGCTTTAGGCCTCATCTCAGGGCAGGGTAGCATGTAGCTTTTCCCTGTTTCTCTTTCGTATTCCATTTACTTCTGTCATTTTATCCTCTGTTTTTGTGGCTGAAATTAGACCACTGCTCTACATTTGTTTCTGTATTATCAGTGTAGAATACCAAAATCCATCATCCATGCATCATAAACTCATTTTTTGTTAATAAGAAGCAGGTTAAATAAGTTTGTCTATTAACATGCGCAAATTTTACTGAATACAGACACACTGTAGAAGTGTAGCCAAAGATTGCTACAAGAAAGTAGATTTCTCTAAAAACTGGGAGATATTGAAAACTCCAGCACCGTTGGCCTGTAGTTTGCCAGCAGACACCAAAAGAAGAAAAAACACAGTTAACTTGCATCCCTCACTTTTCAAGGTGTTTACACATGAATCCCAGAAAAATTGCATCTGGAATAATGTTTCCAAGACAACACAAACCATAGAGAGTATTCAGCTTCCAAGCTTCACAAGGAAACTTTATCGCTGAGACTATTAGCTTACATTCACATGTACAAGATTGCTCACTTGTTTTATTTCTACAGAACTTCCCTTGTTTTATTTCTACAGAACTTCCCTTTCCATGTCTAAATGATAGTTTTGTCTCACTACATTACAATGCATTATGAAATTTCACTTGCTCCCAAACAAAAAGTCATAGAGATCAGAGGGGCATAATCAACTATTGGAAGGTGATGACTCTAGGAATCATACAGGATATGCCTTATTCACAAGTACATTGTATTTGTAGTTGGTATACTATGAGTAGAAACATAAGAATCATCAAAACTGCATTGCTATTAGTTTCCAAAACCATTAGCTTCTTGTTAAACATATAGAGACTGCAAAGCTCCAATAGGGTCTCTGCATGTACACTGCATTTTAACTTCCCCCAAAAATATAATCCTTCAGGTTATGAACAATCCCTGCATATATCTCTTAAACTTCCTATCACATTTTTCACAAATTCCACACATCTTATCCTATTGCAGTAACCAATTTACTAAAAATAGAATCCACAAGTCATGAATGTTCATGTATGAAAAATTGACTAATCACATGCGTAGTTGATCAATAATAAAAGACAAATAAGTAAACTAAACCGATCAATGCCAAACAGAAGAAAGAGGAGAAATTAAAGTAAACTTACGTGAAATCCACTAAAGGACGGATATAATTTTGACCAAACATGTAGTAGTCAAAAGGCTCTCTCTTTGCCTTGTGATGTGGTTGAAAGACAAAAGGATCCTGTTAAAGATTAATCACATGTTGTAAGCATGACAATTTATAACATGAAACAATGGCAAACTAGATGTGTCCAACTGAAGATGCTAAAAAAATTCTCAAATAAAAGATTCCAAGTTTAGGAAAACAATTAGCAAAGCATATCCTAGAAGTAGAACTCAACCTTACCGTCACATCCAAAAATATGCGATCTAATAAAACAGTCATATTTGACAATACAGTCTCATTTGCCTTGGGATCTCCACTTTGGATAATCTGAAATATGATTGCATTGAAAATTAAATGCATCAAATTTATTTAAGTCTTTTAAATGACAAAATGAATAATGATAAAAAAAGACAAATTAGAACATTAAACTGCAGGACAATAATATAACATAAACTAACTATTAACTGAACTGCTATGTGTATCATAAATTCTATCCATACCAAGCTAACTGGATAACTAGTAAGGTCCACATAACAGGTAAAGCATAAAAGAAAGATTTTAACCGTCAAAGAAAAAACATTTGCACAAAAACTCAAATAACTTGATCACAATGATAAAAATCAAAGTGTGCAAGTGTTAAGCAACCATGATTTGATATTGGAATTGAAAATCAAAATGTTAAACCTTTATCAACACAGTAATAGAACCATGTGTCAATGCAGGAAGCAAAGAAACAACAATCTTTTCACACTTGAAGCACTAATATCTGCTCCCACAGATCTTTGGAATAGTTTACAGTAATGAAAAAACATGAACTAAAGGTTTATTTCTTAAATTATACCTTATGAAAAGAACAGTTGTTTCAAAGTATGTAAAATTGAACTTTTAAATCAGCAAGGCATGTGCAGGATGCATATATATATATATATATATATATATGAACAACATACATCTGAATATAAACTTACTGCATTTTTGTAGTTATTGTACACTTCTTCCATCCCTGCAGCAACGTTAGGAGGCAGGGATCCCGCTTCTACTTCCTTTCTGATTCCAGAAAGGAGCTCTACAAATAAACAATTAACATAATAAAGGAAAATCAATTTCCAGAATTAGGATAAATATAATAAAAGAAAAATGAAAGAAAGATAATTTAAAAAACGAATCGCCCGCTTGTGCATCATCTAACTGAACAGTTAATCGTAAAAGAGCCAAAATAAATAATTAAAAAAAGCATAGAAAATCTGTTAGACATGTCACCAATTTAACGGTATTTAATTTCAAACAGTACCTAACAAACAAAATTCAATCTTTAACTAAAACCACAAAACCGTTAAAAACTAAAAAAAAAATATCAGTCTCTTCAAGTAATCAAATAAACTTCCTAATCACGCTTTGTTGATTCATCTGAAGTCGACATTTAAAGAAAGATAGGCAAAAATGGAAACAAGCGTGAAGGCGTAATTGAAGTAAAAAAAGAAAAAATGCAATGGCGAAGAGGTTTAAGAAGACCTTGTTCGTTTTGAGCGTTGAGAAAAGTGCGAGAAGAGACGGAAGAGGCCATGTTAGGGGGAGAGTGTTTGGCGGAGAGAAGGTAGTTGCAGTTGCTGTCTTTGGATTTAACCTTGGGAGTGAGGGAGCAGGAAGGAGAAGCAGAAGAAGAATGCTTGGAAGAGAAGAATGAAACCCTAGCAGAAGGAGTTGAGAAGAATGTGGTTGGCGGAGAAGGCGGTGTAGAGAGGATAAACATAGTTTTCGTTCTGAGGCGGAAAGGAGGGTTGGCGTGTGCCACACAGTAAGCTGAAGAAGCGGTCATCCTCATTCTTCAAAGATCCAAACAGAGAGAGAGAGAGAGAGAGAGAGAGATAGGTTTCGTCGCGAGTGTGAGGGTGGGATTGGCGGGCACACGTGCTTTTCGTCTTGTAGGGGCCCGCATGCCACTGTGGTAGCCAATGGTTGAGGAATGAGGAGAAAGAAGGAGTGGGACACGTGGAGCGCGTCCAACGGACCCCGCACATTAACGGATAAAACTCTCACAACTTTGCCTTTCCTTCCAACTAATCTTTTTTTACCAAGTACATCAAATCTTATCATTCTTCTCTTGAATATTATTATACTTATACTATTATACATCGTTTATTTTTTCTACGCTTTAATTCATGTGTCATGCAAATCACTTTCGATTTATTCAGTTAACTTATTACGGTTTTGAATAACAGAATTTGTTGTGTAGAAAAATAAGTGTTCAAATAGTTTTATCTTCTTTAAACAAGTATATTCAACTAAATTTGTATTAGACAAAAATTATACCTTTTATTTTACATATAAAGAAAGCTAAGCTGCATATTTAGTTGAGAATAATTTTAAAATATTAATCACTTGTTTTTAACGTTTAGAAAAATAGACAAATGTTTATTTAAATTAAACTAAATAAAACATGCGCAAATATGCAAATATATATCATTCTATAATGCTTTTACATTAATAAATACCAATTATAATTATATATCCATTTTTAATGAGAATGTTTAAATATAAATATTTCACTGAAGTTTTGGTAAGTAAATAAATGTTAAGGCTAAAACTCTCGAAGGCCCATCTAACTAAGAGGATAACACCTTGCAAAAGGATAAATAAAGTTTTTATAGGACTAAATTTTGGGGACTCTGATTATTTCCATTTAAGGGTCATTTAATTGAACTGATTTATGATTTGTTTTGTACAAAACCTAGCATACGTTAATTTAATTATATTTAGATTATGGACTCATTTGTTTAAGATTATTTCACATGAGAAGCACTTCTGAAAAAAAAAAATCACTTTTAATATTTTTAGTTGTTTCATTAATATTATAAAAAAAGCAGAAGCTAAAAAAAATAATTCTAGCCTTTTTTGAGAAGCCGTAATTACTTTTAACAATAGCTGAAACAATTGTATATTACTTTTAGAAAAAAAAATTCCTAACTAATTATTGTCCCGTGGTTTTTGTTTAGACAAAATATTTGCTTTGAAAGTTAACATAAAATGGTCCGTAGAAGGTGACACTTTTTATGTGTCGGTATGTTTGTTACTTTTAAACTCATATTCGGTACAAAAGTTATTATAAATACAAATTAATTATAACAAGAGAAAAACTAAGTTAAAAGAGTCACCGAACTGTCATTTTTTGTTTTTCCTATTCGCAAGTCACATCATTAAATAAAAACCTCCTGTATCTTTTAGATTTTTATTTCTTTTTATTATTGGAACATGCATCCCTTGATTCATAGATATATCATCTTCATAAAAGCTAATTCCAAAATCTAACAATAAGATATTTACTCGTCATATGGATCAAAAAAGTTTTTAAAATAAGTTAAAATGTACCCAAAAAGATTATATACTCAGGGAAAAATCTTTCATTAAACCGTGATCAAATTAATTAACGAGGGATTTAATGCAGTGGTTTTGTGAAATATGAAGAGGGTCTAGGTATACTACTAATCCTTTTTTTTTATTATCCAAGGGTTTAATCAGAAACAACAAAAGCGATGTGAACCCAATTTAACAAAGCAGATTCATGATCACCAAATGAAGCCCCAAAATGCAGAGAACAAATCTGTGGTGGAACCACCCGTGACCAATTCTCTTTTTCTTTCATTTTTAAAAAAGGAATTTAGAAAAAGACAAAATTTCATTACCTTAAAAAAAATTATTTAACTATAGATATTTAGTGTTATTAGTACTTTTTATTAATCAAAATTTAATTTTTATTTTGACAATTTGTAATACCACTGAATATAAATATTAATCTCAATTCACCTACTTTGTAATGCTAACCAAATTCTTAAATGAATTCATTCAATAGATTGATTTAATTTGCATTGGAAACACCTTAACATAACTTTAAGATTAATATTTAAAGAATTAATAAATATTAATTTATTTTAAAAATATATTATAAATTATATAAGATTTTTTGCATGTTTTAATAAAAAAACTTTAATTTAAAATTTTTTAACCAATGTCTTAACATTTAAAAGTTACCTTAAGCAGTTAGGCCTCACAGTTAAAGTGAAAAAATACAGATGAAAAATTGGAGGATAGATAGAAAAGACTAGGGGAATAAATGGAGAAGACAGAAGTGTGAATTTTTTGTGGTTTTAAAATTTATTATGAGAGGTGAACTCATATATACCCCTTAAATTTAGCGTGGAGGTGGATGGTTCTTCAACACAGTTCATTCTTGTTTCACATGTGCTAAGCTGAAATGGCGTCGTTTTTGTCTCTCCCTGCCGTTTCGCCTCGTCCCATTCCCAGTGCCTTCTCTATCAGAAGACCTTTCTTTCAAACTCCACCCACCTTCCATTTCAAAAATCACCGGTTCGTAATCTAATTCTCTCTCCCAAGTTCACACCTTTTTTTCCTTTTTATTTTGTTTAACCTCAGTTCTTCGAGTTTTCTGCTATTTGCTGGTGTTTGGAACATGGTGGCATGAGATTAGTTTGTTGGGGGTTCTTTGTTTGTTCGGTGACCGGTGATGATTGGTCAATGTTAATTTTAGTGTGAAGAAGTTTAAGTTGCTGCTAGTTTTCATTTTTGTTTGATTAATGCCTAATCTAAGTATTTTAGATGTTTGGTTTAGAGCAGTATTCAAATTAAATACAAGTCTTCTCATGTCACAATGGGAAAACAAAGGACGGTGAAACAGAGTGGTGGGATATCAGGATCTTATAGTTTATTTCTTTTCCGGAATCTAATTTTACTTTTTTGACAAAATCCAATGAATGGTTTATGTTGGACTATTTAGAAGCATTTGGCACTGCGTAGGGAAAGCACTTTTTGTTATAGGCTTCTATAATTCGCTTTCCCATTATCTAGTATGGGATAGCCGGTCATTTGGTCAATATTCTCATCATGCGCTCCTAGTTTTCCAATATGATTCTCAAAATTCTTTATGTTGCATGTTACAAACTCTACTTGCATTAAGATTAGATGGCCCCTGCATTGAGTACCGATCCAAGTTGGTAAAAATTGTGATAGTTACTGATCAATTTTGGCTTCCCCTTTGCTTTATGGCTTCGATTGTTTTGTGATCCCAGACTGGATTTAGATATATGTGATATTGATATGTTCTATAATGGTTGTTCGAAAAATGTTCTGCAGGTTTGCGGTTAACTGCAGTTATGCAGAGGCAGGTGTCAGTGACGATTTTAAATCTGCCACAATAGATGTTGTGGCTGATGTTAAAAGTGAACGGGTTTGTACACACATCTCACTGTTTTAATAATTTGAGGTTATCCATACATTATGCATTTTTGTTTTTTTTTTGTTTTTTTGTAAAAACACTCTTGTGTAAACGTCTCTGTAGATTGTAGTCTTAGGAGGCAATGGCTTTGTTGGCTCTGCCATTTGCAAGGCAGCAGTATCCAAAGGCATAGAAGTCATAAGCCTAAGCAGGTTTGTGAAATGTTTGACTAAATTGCTATATCTGTCTGTGCATCTTTCTCTCCCTCCTTGTATTTTTATATATATATTTAATTAACATTTAGTTTGACAGGTCAGGCCGTCCTAATTTTGCTGACTCATGGGTAGATCAGGTTACTTGGATTTCAGGCATGTTAGCTAAACCTACTACTGAACATATACATGATATTTTTCTTATAATTTGTTAAGGGTGTCCAAGCATATGCTGGAAGAGGGCATAGAGAATAAACATCATGAACATTAATACTCATCTATTGTAGAGAAGAGTGGTTAATTATTGAATCAGTAATCTTATGTACATACTACACATTTCCATATCTTTCACCAATGTATGTGTTCAGAATTTTGGGTATTTATCCGTTGCCTCTCTCTTTGTGCTTGTGCCCGTGTCCTTTGATTGATAAAAGAAACATATGCATACCCAACAATCACAGCGTAATCATAGGGCGTGGCTTTACAGTTTTGAAGTTTGAATTAACATTTGGATATATATCAATTCAATTTATTATGAATTTACAACTATAACTCTTATGATGAAATAGGGTTTTCTTTAATTACTTCTGCAGTTTTTTAACCACTTTCATTTGACCAAATAAAACATAATTTCACTCTGATCATCTTTATGATACTTCAGCAAATGTTGGAGTATATCAGATGAGCCTGAAGATATAGATATGTGACCATATAAACATCATAACAATATCGTTGAATGCAAATTGCGATATATGAAATATGATGGGTCATGGCATGTAAATTTTTCTAGTAACCTCTTCATTTTTTTTTTGGAGGGAATTTTAGTCTTTTGTCTTATGTGCAGGAGATGTTTTTTATGTGAACTGGGATGAAGTACTTGTTGGAGCTACTGCTGTTGTTTCAACCCTCGGAGGATTTGGTAGCGAGGAACAGATGAGAAGGATTAACGGTGAGGCCAACGTTGTGGCTGTGAATGCTGCAAAGGAATTTGGTGAGTCATCATCCTGTTGAGCATTAATTTGCAGTTAATTTCACCTACATTTAGCTTTCTTCATTTTTGTTAGACAAGATTTTAGCCATAAACTTTCTTGCATCCCCTTCCATAAAAGAGCTGATATCCTCAAGTGTTTTCTAATTGTGTTTTTTTTTCTTTTTTTTATAATCATAAAACAGCTGCATTTCTTTAGAATGTTTATGGATCTGGAGAATAATAGGTAAAATTAATCAACATTTTACTATTTTTTAATTGCAGTCTACATTATTAGCAGTTCTAGCTGATATTTTGATTAAAGAATAAGAGAAAGAGTGTGAGGTTTAATAATTAATTTTTTATAGCAAATTAATGGAAGATAAAGGAAATAGTTTGATATGGACTGATGAGCAGTATCATTTCACTTACCAGCCCTGTGAAAAGATAAAAAAATTGGCTCTTCTACGTTTTATGTCAGCTGGTTATTTTGGATGAGAAGTTGTTGTAACCCATTGTTTTATATTCTAGTTATAAATCTAAACAGATCATTATGGCTCTGTGTGAAGCGCATTCTGTTTGGGATTCTTCTTTATGATGCTTTTAATTTATGCATTGAACCAAAGATTGATAACATTATGTACCGTTTAATTCTCATCTCTTTTTCCCTTGCAGGAATTCCCAAGTTCATCTTGATCTCAGTTCATGATTATAACTTACCGTCATTTGCACTTTCATCTGGATACTTCACGGGAAAGAGGAAAGCAGAATCTGAGGTTCTCTCAAAATATCCTAATTCAGGTCATTATTCTATCCGTTAATGATCTTGAAACTGAATTGATACTCAAGTTTTGTAAACAAGGAAACTCAAACCTATTTGCAGTTGCAGATAGCATCACCTGATCTGCAAATGACTCAATTTGTGGAAATGATTATTTTTAAAACTAACAGAGCTAAAACTCATTGAGGATCCAGCAATAGGTTTTGTGGAGGATGAATATCATGCTTTTGAAGGATATAAAGCTGACTAAATGGATAGGGTCTTGCTGTTTTTATTGATTTGCATTCTTTCACTTTGATCTCAATATCTTCAGGTATTGTCTTAAGACCTGCTTTCATATATGGGAAAAGGAGAGTGGATGGTTTTGAGATTCCTTTGGATTTGGTAGGGGAGCCAGCAGAAAGAATTCTAAGGGCAATAGAGAACTTCACAAAACCTTTAAGCTCTCTTCCTGCTTCTGATCTACTCTTGGCTCCACCTATTAGTGTTGATGATGTAGCGTTGGGGGTTATCAATGGTGTCATAGATGATGAGTTCTTTGGTATTTTTACAATTGACCAGATCAAGGAAGCCGCTGAAAAAGTACGGGTAGGGGTATGATCCACTTATATGCGTGGAGTCAAACAAGATAAAGTAGACCAAAAGCTGCAATCAGAATTATTGTACAGGGGGTAACTACAATGAGGCCATTTTCCTCATTAAATCTTTGTGTTCATATCGACAATATTTGGAGCAAAATCTTATGGGAAAGTGTGGGGGAAGAATGGTGTTGAAAATATATTAAATGAGGTACATACCTTTTTTTTATTATAGAAGTATTATTAGTTTATGAGTGGACCATTCGACAAGTTCACAAACCATCGTACGAACTAGTGACTTATTTAGTGGCCACCAATTGTTCGATTTGTAAATACAAGTTGTGCTGTAATTATCTATTTCGTCTTGCTGTATTTGCTCCACATTGGAATATGGCTTTAATTTATAGTAATTAACCAAAAAGTATGTCCTCGTAAGCGCAAAAAGTAAAAAAAACAAAAAATTGGTAAAGCCAAATATTAAAATAACAAACGAATTTCTCACTTCAATAACCCATGTTCATAGACTCGGTTAACACTTTTTATGTGAAATGTGGATTACATCTGAAAATGAAAGACAAATATTCATTAGTATTAACAGAGACAACAAAAATTATTCTAGCATCCGTATAATATTATGAGCCTCCATTTGAAGGTTGTTTCTTTATGAGCGCTGCACGGCTTGTGTAATGTAAAATTCACAAGACCAATACATTGATTTTATCTTTTATTTGTTTTCAATTCGAAACCATAAATTAGAAACAAATACTGTAATTGATTCTTCATACCGTCTTCAACGAAGATATACTGCACCATTCCCCCCACGAATTTTATAACGTATAAAATCAGACCCAAGATGATTTTCAGCTTATGCATTAACGTACGCGGGTGTGCTTCCATATGCCATCATTTAGACCATTAACATTTTAATGTCTCTGGCATTCAACACCAAACTTAAGCAATATAATCGTGTCTACAGCAGAAGGCAAAAATATTCCCTGAATGTGTCCTGTAAAATCTTTAGTATGTTGACAATTAGATCAGACTACCAGCATTTCCCGAGGCTGTAAAAATGTAGATCAATCGACAAATGTTTAGTATGTTGACAAGACTTGTATGAGAGCCCTTTCGCTCCACCTGAAGAAGATCTAGGAGTTTACTTTTGCCTTCTGTTTTGAATGGACTGTTCAACAAGGTACCTATTATCACCGTAACTTCAATCAATATACAAAGAACAAGGGAAGGATATAACAGGTTGTTTCAGAAGATCCAAACAGCTAATAATCATGCAAACCTTGAAGTTTTGGAAGTTACAACTACTACATTTCTAAGTGTCAACAAAGATCTAATTCAGAAACACACAATCCTTTGCTCCAATCATATGTGCTTCAATTAAACACAAATAAAACTTAAGTGTCCTTTTTCACTCCATGATATGTGTAGCTATATTTAGCACTGAAACCGCAAACACAATAGAAAGAGGGGCATACACATTAATTTGTTTTGACAGTGCATAATATCAAGAGATTATCTTGCCAAACTTATATTTAAAAAAAGGACAGGAAAAAGAGTACAGCAGATATTCCGTTTGATTTTGACTAAAATGGTGGTTAAAGAGTTTGGCCAACCAAAGTTCAATTATTCAATAACAATCCTGGTGAGTATATTTTATTAAAATAAACCAAAAATCTTATCAACTACCACTGTATAACAGCATGCTAGAAATAAGTTCTTGTATGAAAAATGAAGTAAACTTTATATCAAATAAAACTTTGATGGAGACTTACTTTCCAGTATAGAAGCCAGCCGAATACCAAGCATTCAAAACGGCAGTAAGATCTGTTTCTGAGCCATTACTTTGTCCAGGTTCAGTATTGTTTCTCTCTTTCTCTGAATTGCATGGAGCAAACACAGATATCACAATTATGCTCTGTATCATATACTCCCAAAAAATCTAGATAGTATTGAAGTAAATTGACATATTTCTAGACAATAAAAGTGAAGTCATTGAAACACAAGAAGGTGGGTGTACATAAAGCATTAGGTGACTGTTACGGTTTTATCAACCAAGTGAACCAAACCTAAGCAATAAAGATGTAATAATACTGTATGTTAATTGTTTTAGAACCAATATACATTAAAAGAGATGAAAACAGAAAACCAAATGAAATGAAAACAAAAAACATTTTAAAAAATCACACAGCCCATATTTATTCATGCACCTGTCTACTTTTAGGTAGGCATGCTTACCTTCATTTATATTATAATCAGCAGGGATGGTTGTTCTAATAGTAGACAGTGCCCTCTCTGCTGCTCCCATTGCCATTTTGTGGATTTCACCATCCTCCCTCGGAAAAGACATTTTATGATCCATTTCTACGTATTGATTGCAAGAAGGTTTGCCAACACACGATCCACCCAGAGAACAACCTGGAACTGAAGTGCATGGAGCCAACACACATTGACTAAAACACGGGCAACACGAACAGACAGCATTTGGATCAGAAACTTGGTGCGTAGCCATTGAATAACCTTGAGCATCAGAATATGGCACAGCAGAACTAGAAGCAGCAGCCGTGTATTGGTAATTCAAACCACCGTATTGATTAAGTTGCTCCAAAATCTTCATCCTTTTCTCCTCAAGTTCATAGTACTGTGCAACCAACTGATTATAATCATCTGCACCCTGCGCATATACATAACCGTCGTGCACACTCTGGATGTCTTGACCACTTGCTGAATCTAGACAAGGTTGGTCCACCTGTGATTCTGCATGATGGTTTTCTTCCAACTTTGACACATTACTAGTATCACCAGAACCAGGCCCATCAATTGCCGGAACATTGCCTTTGTCACCAGCATCCCTTTTTCAATAAAGGGGCATAGATTGTGAAAAATTACCTCAGAAAAATATTACTGATACATGTGTTTTAATAAAGCAAATTACATTCTGAAATCATCTCTCTTTCACAGCATTGAATAAAAATTAAGTAGAGAAACATTTTTTTTTTTTCTTTTTATTCAATAATTCTACTATCAACCAAGTAAGTCATAACGTAATATTTGATTTCATGTGAAGCGAGTTCAATTGTACCTAGTAGTGTGAAGAGTCGGGAACTCAACCTTGGAGGCATTTTCTGCGGTCACTCTCTCTGCTTCTTCAACTTTATTTTTGGCGCCGCTATGCATTTTCTGCAAATAAGGGGCGAATTTCAATCAAAACAGTGAACACATGGTTACGAAATGAAATGGTACTGAAACAATTGAGAGAGAGAGAGAGAGAGCCTTGTAAGTAGAAATCGCGTGATCGAAGGCATCGATGAGAGCTGAATCGTCCCACAAATCTCCTTCCTTCTCCTTTCCCATGCTTAGAGTTCAACACAACAACTTCCCCCACCCTCTCCCAAAACCCTTTCAACTTTACTTAAACCCTAACCCCATCATCTAATCTAATTAAGCTGTTAATATTATTGTTTTATTTATATATATATATATGCTTAAAAGATTTTTTTGTTTATTAATATTAACCGTCCTTCGCGTAAATTGCTTTGAATAGGTAAATCAATTATTTGTCCTTATATATATATATTTTTTTTTATTTTATTTTTCTGTCAAAGTGATTTATGATTCATATTAAAATTTTACTCAATATATAATTAATTTTAAATAAATTTTAATTAAAATTTATTTAAAATTAATTATATATTGAGATCCTATCACTTACATTAAATAATGTTATATAAAAAATAAATCAAAATATAATAACAGTGATATATATAACATATTATCATTTTATTTTATATTTAAATTATATTTAAATAAAAAATAAAATACATAATATTTATTCTATTTTTTATTAGTAATACTAACCCTTGTACATAAAAAAAATATACTGAAAAATGAAATAAACTTCTTGTTTAATTAATATATTAGATAGAATTATTTGTTGCTCATAAAAATAAATTATTTGTTAATAAATAAGTATATTTTAATGTTTAATTAATAAACATGAATATATTAATAAATAATTTTATTTTAATTTTTGCTATACATTGACTACATGTTTAAAAATAAAAATATAACTCAAATACAAATTTAGGAATTAAAAATCATGAAAGTTAAAATAGATAAAAGAAAACAAAAATGAGAGAGTTGTCAGTTCAAATACAAGAGAAATATTTCTTTAAATCAAACAAAACAAAACACATATTTGTTTTATTAAAAATATAAATAAATCTAACAAATATTTAATTTCAACTGTCATTAAAAAGTAAGAGGGATCTTGAATATTAAGAATCAAATATAAAGTATTCTTAAAATCATACTTGATTCAAATTAAGTTAAAATCATTTTTAATCATCAGTTTGATCTACAAGATGGCCCTTAATTCAGTAGTCACATGGGAGTAATAATACAAAAAATCATAAAAATAAAAAATGAATTGGTCTTGAGTATTTTTAATAAGTTTTTTTATATTCGACAATTTTAAAATGATGAGATACAATACCACACATATTTAATTTCAACTGCCCAAAGAGAAGGAGATCACTTAATGCAAATTTGGTCATCAACCATCTTGCTCAGATTTAGAGTTACCCTTGCAAACATTAAACAAATAGTCATAATCCTAAAGAACTTTATGAAGTAAGGCTTTAAGGTGTACAAAAGAATTTAAAAAAATGAAACAATTTCTATTATTTTAGAGGTGCCAAAGAACAACACAAGAAAAACAATATTCAGTTAACAAACTTACTCTAGTTATGCTTGGACAATTTTCTTATAAGCCAATAAAAAAAACCAATACTAAAAAATTTAGTCCATTTATTAGAAAAGATAAAATAATTTCACACATTCTTAACAAAATATCAATCACTGAAGAGATGCATTACAGACTCAAGAAAATTACTATATCTAAAGCACGTAGGATAGAGAGACATACTTCTCCCAAACCTCTTTTTATTAGTCAAAAAGTTTGCCACAAGAGAGTTTCTAAAGAAAATTTATAGTTTTGGAGAGACTTTACCAATTTCACACTAATTAATATGCTATTTAAAAAAAAATATGACTTAACTCTGAAAATAAAATAAATATGCCTAAATAGAAATGGTCTTAATAAATATAAAATTTGTCATAAAATATAAAATTAATTTGTATTATCATGACCTCTCTCTCTCTATATATATATATGACATAAAATTACAATAAATTTATATAAATTATAGTCCCATTCAATCAATTCACTTAATTAGCAAAATTATGAGACATAAATTACAAGTACATAATAATAATTTCAATGTGTTTAATTTTTTTTTAATTCCTTTTGTCTCTTTTTGCTACAATCTTCTAAAAAAATTAAATATAATGTATATGTTTTGAATATTTGCATAAATTAAATTGTATTATGTTTACTTCAATTTAATTTTGGATTTTTAAAAATTGATACCAACAAAATAATCATTTATTTAAAAAAATTAAATTAAAAAAAATTAATTAGATAAAAGTGACATGCAAAAGATTTAATTACCATGTCAAATAAAAGAATACGTTCCTATCCAAAAGAAAAATGTGTAAATTCCTTTAAATAAAAATATACTACAATTTATTGTTAATTATACTAATCACATTACATAACTAATCGTTGAATAAGATTTTAAATATTTGATGATATAAAGTTTAAGTATATATGTTTACTTTATATCTTTTGTATGGATATGTATTTCCTTAAATAACTTGGAATTGAAAATTTTATGTTAGACAAATTTAAATATATATTGGACTTAACATGTTTTTTTGTTTATTTTTCTTTTATTATTTTAGTGAAAACGTGAAAAAGTTAATAATTTTAAAAGTTAATTTTTTAAAAATAAATATTATAATTTTTTTTAATAATTCGATCTTATTGGTCAACGTTTAGTTTAGTTTTTTTTTTTACTTTGTATAACTTTTATTATTGATATTTAAACATAGTAGTCATTAAAATATTTTCCTTAAAGTCGATTATTTTAGATCATTTATTCTTATGAGTTGTCCCTTATACACATGATACGATGTTTTATATCGAATTCGAAACACTTTTAAACAACATCTCATTGATATATTATAAAAACTATTTCAATCATCGGTATTTTAAAATTGGCCATAAATACAGTACCTTAGTACGTATAAATTTATTGCTATAACTTGTGCTACACTGTTCAAGGTTTTCATGATTTAAATGGTTCGTTGACTACCGGTAGCATAATTTTCAACGATGATTCAGTCATCAAATTAAAATAAATATTAATTTTTAACTCATAGAAAATAATACATAATAAAAGTGTTTATATAATAAAAATATATTAAAATTATGGGATTTAATATATTGATATTATTAAATAATTTTTAATAAAAAATATTTGTTAATTCATCATATGTATTTTTTTACAAATTAAAAATTATTAAAATTAATTAATTAATTTTTATTTATTAGTTTGTTTCGAATAATTAAATGCAAAAGATACCGATTAAGGAATTAAAAATAAAAATATTATTAATTTACCTTTTTCGTGTTTTTAATATATTTGAGCGTGGTCTTTAATAGTGTTTCCTTTTAATTTTTAATAGTACTGTTTAAGAATATAATTAATTATGCTTGACTGGACACTAATAAAGTTTGACATAGTCAACGAATACCTAATTTTTTTTTAGTATGCTAACTAATATTCCATTTATAATTTTATACATAAAACATGTTTTATTAAAAGAAAAATAATTTTTTTTAGTAATTTTTATATCTCCAGTCTCTAACTATTTGGAGGAAAATACTTTTACGCAAAAAGAAAATTTGATCGAACTTTAATGCTTAATGTAAAAAATATTGGGATATGTTGTATTTAAATATATGACTATTTACTATTTTAGAAATATTTTTGTACTTTTTTGACTTTAGTTTTTAAAATTAAAGTTCATAAAATTATTATACTAATTAAATAGTCACTTTCAATTAATGAGATAATTTTTTTTATATATAAAAATTTTTTATTTTAAATTTTAAATTTTTTATATTTAATTTAAATTTTTTATTTAATTTATATCTAACTATTAATAAAGTAATATATTATATTATATCTTGATAATGGATTGATGGATATGTACTTACTAGTTATCACGGTAGCAAAAGAATGAATTCAACATTCTCATACTTAATGGATTGTGTAAACTGGTAATTTAATTTACTCTACACCATACATCACCATTCAAAGTACATGCTGCACATATGTATGCTATTAAATGAGACCAAAATCTTCAACTAATTTTGGCATTCATCGTAGTATACAATTTTCTTTTAGGTTTTCATTTTTCTTTCTTTCTTTATGAGATTATATCTTTTTTTAATTATTTTAACATGTATTTAAGAATATACAATATAATAAATTTTTATTAAAAAAATATTATTAAGTATATTAATAATATAAAAACTATATTTTTTAATAAAAAAATTTATTATTTTAATATATATATATATATATATATATATATATATATCTCTTTAAATACATATTTTAAAAATTCTTCAATGTCTCCTTCAATCGCTGAAAGGTGGAAAAATAATTAATTGTTAAATTTAATGATATTTTTAAGTATATTTTAAAATATAAAAGATGAACTAACGGAAATTGGTTCAATTGACAAGTAATTCAATATCTCTTAAGTAAAATCTCAAGTTTAAATCTTTATATATGTAAAAAAAATTTATTGATAAACTCACTCGTCTAAATGTGTAAAATTAAAAATTTTTTGCAGAATTTCATAATTAAATTTCGAAAGCAATAAAATCACTGTCTAGCCTTTCCACCAAATTTAATTCCATTGGGGGTTTTGATGGATGGTGTGGTCCCCATATGAAATTGACACCATTGGATCTCACTGGTTTCAGTGTCAAACCTCATTAAATAAGTCACTCCATCCCCAATGGCCCCATCACGGTTCTCACCATGCAAAACTCTGATGCACTGAAAACTCTTTATCATATCATGGGGTCCATGCACCATAAATAAACGGCTGTGATCTGTTTGACCCTCCTACTTCATTACCCTTCTTGATTCTTTCCCTTCTCTTCAGTTGCAAGACAATATTTATCTCTGTCTTCCTCCCAAGGTGAAACATATACTTTATTCCTTTTAATACCCCTTTTTTTTTTATTAAATCATGTTAAGAATTGATTACTTTGAAGAAAATGATTTAAAAAACATATAAAAATATTATAAAAATAACTATCAACATATATTGTGAATATTAAATTATAGATTTCATTAAATAGCGTGCTTGAAATATTTGTTAAGAAATTAATAATTATAATCTTTTTATGAAAAGTTATAGGAGACTTATATCAGAACGGAAAAGAGTATGTTAGTAATTATTTTATAAAGTTATTTGTAATAATAATATTATTATTATTATTAATTCTTTCATTCATTAAATATAATTTTATTCGAATCAAATAGATTTAATATAAATATTTTGTTAATATTTAATACAATTTTATTCATTAAATTTGATAAATTTTTATCTTTAATATTAAATATAAATATATTCATTATGACTTGAATTTAATATTATAAATTAAACTAAAATAACTCTCCACCAACTCAACAATTAATATGTATTTAAAGATACATAACAAAAATTTATATATAATATTTTTATTAATTTTTTAATATTTTAATATAATAATAATAATAATATTATCATTAAATGTGATTTTTTAATAAAATTTTATTATTCACTGTTAGTCTACTATGTATCTCTCGACGCATAAAAAAATTGAAAATTTTATTTGAGGGATATTACTAATATATTTTTTTAACACATATTCTTTATTATTTAATATAACTATTTTTAAAAATAAAATTTAAAATTTTATCAATTTTAAAATAAGTATTCTAATTTAAATAAATAAATAAATAACACTACTTATATTTTTTATAAAAAATAATTACAAATATTTTTTGCCTTAAATATAAAAAATAAATATCTTTTGTAATATATTAATTGTTAATATTTTATATCTTACCATTTATTCATGAAAGTATCCATATTTATTCATTTAATATATATCACACTAATTTAATCATTTAATACTATCTACAATAAATTTGTGAATTAATCTTAACAAATTGGATATTATGTTTTTTATAAATATAATAAAAAGTAATATATTTAAGAATAATTTTGACTCAAACTATGATATTAAACGAGAGTGAACAGAGAACGAGGCGCGTGTAGTAGAGTGTCTTGAAAGGGGGAGAGTCCCCTGGGGCGTGGTGGGGTTGAAAGAAGAAAGGTTTGACTTTGAGAAACGTTGAGAATGGCCATTAAGAGGGCACCACGTGGATCCAAACGGGCAACGTAGTAAGAGGCGCTGATCGGTTTCTGTCGACCTGCATTTACCATTGCCAGTAAATTATTAAATTAACCGATTTATTACATTTTCAACAACACACTATCAATATGTATATGAATATGAATATGAGATCAAACACAGAGCAACAAAGCCACTAGGACAAGGAGAGGGAGGGAGGGAGAGGGACCCTTCTCTATCCGTGCGTGCGTGTCAACTCAACTCAACTAAGATCATCCAAATCCATATTCTTCCCTTCATTTTCAAAACCACTTCCTCACATTGCTCCTCCTGGTATTTCTAACTTTTAACGTTTTTTAATATATATTTTTTCACTGTGCTTTTTTTCCCCTAATAATTTAATATGATAAAAAATCTTTGTTAGTTGCGGTTCCGCTGTCTCAGATTTTGGGGGGTTTGGTAGGGAATCTTTTTTATAGTCTTGTTTTTTGGGGGTTGAATGAGAATGTTTTGATAGTTTAAAGGTTTTGTTGTTTGGATTCTGATATGGGAAAGTTTTGTTGTGGGGTGGTAGAGACAGGTTGGGTTCAACTGAAGTAGACTTCTCTCTCAGCACATAAAAAAACACACAAAGTGTGGTAATACAAGTGAAGTGTGGTTTTGGAGAACAAGAAGGCAAGTATGTATGGGGATTGCCAAGTTATGTCAACTATGGGAGGGAACGTAGTAGTAAACTCAGATACCCTCTTCTCTTCCTCGATCCAGAACTCTAACTTCAACTTCATCCCTACCATGCCTTTTCAGCCTTTTCCTACCATGGTAATTATTAATTAATCGACACTTTTGCTTGCTTAAATCTCCTTCTTCTTACTTTTTTATGTTCATATATAAACAGAAAGAAGAAGATGGGATCTTGCGAGGGAAGGAAGAGATGGATAGTGGGTCAGGTAGTGAACATGTTGAAGACAAGTCAGGGAATGAGCAAGAGAGTGAACAACCTACAAAGAAGAAACGTTATCATAGGCACACTGCACGCCAGATCCAAGAAATGGAAGCGTGAGGATATAACTCTATAGCTAGGAAAAGACATGCTTGATTCTAGATCTCTCTCTCTCTCTATCTCTTTTTCATTTTTTCATTGCAATGAAACAAACCCGTTCTCTAGGAACATAAATTTAAGCCGTTAATTTGGTCATTACATATTGTGTAACGTAAATTTGTGGCAGTTTGTTCAAGGAATGTCCACACCCGGATGATAAGCAGAGGTTGAAACTGAGCCATGAACTGGGCCTGAAACCGCGCCAGGTTAAGTTCTGGTTTCAGAATCGCCGAACCCAGATGAAGGTACGCTGAAACTTAATTACCATGCTTTCAACCTTCCATTAAAACGTTCACTTTGATGATATCAAACCAAACCCTAAACTGTACATGCTCTTAATTCTCCCCCCCCCCCCCCCCCCCAATTAAATTGAACGTCTCTCACATACTACTACATACATAGCACGTTTCCCAATGAACCGCGTTTCCTTGGCTTGCATTAAAACTTTCCTATGCCCTAATAAACAGCTACACAGGCAGTGATAGAAGGTATAGCAAGAAAAAATATTAAAAAATATGTATATAAATGAACAAATAAATAGTAAAAAAAGAAAAAGAAAAAGAAAAACAGAAGACTACTCTCATTTACTCATGGTTCTTGGTATGTCCATCATACAGTCTGTATTCCATTAATGTACGCATTAAACCCTACCTGTCACATGTGGTCTCAAACGGTACTCATATTTATTGCCATATATCATTACAGTATTAGGGTTAGAATAATGAAGGGTCTTCTTCTCTTCCTCCTCCATAAATTTTTAAAGCATTTATGTCTTAGGATTTTGCGAATTGTATAAGATATTAGTCATCATTACTATACATGTAAGAATAAGAATATCAAACATACGGAAGAATCTTCGGTTATTTTGCATTAATCATGCGTTCTTTTTTTATTTTTAATCAATTTCGGGATATAGGCACAACAAGATCGGGCAGATAATGTGATACTTAGAGCCGAGAACGAGACTCTAAAGAATGAGAACTATCGGTTACAAGCAGCGCTACGTAATATTATCTGTCCCAACTGTGGTGGCCCATGCATAATGGGCGCTGATCTGGGCTTGGATGAACAACAGCTTCGCCTTGAAAATGCCCGGTTAAGAGAAGAGGTATATTTTATTACCATAATCATTTCAGCACTACTTGAAAATCATGCTAGATAATATTATATGACACGTGTCTGTTACCCTTTGCTCCATATAGTTAAGACAATTTCACTAACATAGTTAAGGAAAGTAATTTTTTCACTAGCACAATATCTATAAGAACAATAAATAAAAAGCTTAAGACAGTTAAAATATTAATACAAAGTTATTTTAATATTATCTTGAGTTTTGATTAGTTATATTTATACAAGCACAAAAAAAGTCTTATTTCATTAAGTGATGTCTAAAAAAATTTCTGAAAAAAGTGGAATAATTGTTAAGGAAAGGATGGAGGTGTGATTTAATTTTCACAAAGTGAATGTTTAATTTGCAGTTAGAACGTGTTTGTTGTCTCACTTCAAGATATACTGGTCGTCCAATCCAAACAATGACAGCAGCACCTACTCTCATGGCTCCATCATTGGATTTGGACATGAACATATACCCACGTCACTTTACGGATCCTCTTGCTCATTGTGCTGAAATGATTCCTGTGCCAATGTTACCTCCCGAAGCTTCACCATTTGCAGAGGATGGTGTCTTAATGGAAGAAGAAAAGTCTCTGGCCTTGGAGCTTGCAGCATCTTCCATGGCTGAGCTTGTGAAGATGTGTCAGACAAACGAGCCACTTTGGATCCGAAGCAGCGAAAATGAAAGGGAAGTGCTTAATTTTGATGAACACGCAAGGCTTTTCTCATGGCCTCTGAATCTCAAGCACCGAAGTGAACTAAGGACAGAAGCTAGCCGTGACACTGCTGTGGTTATAATGAATAGTGTCACTCTTGTTGATGCTTTCCTTGATCCTGTAAGTTGTTTTCTGAATTCCTTAGCTTCCTTTTCTTCTACTTAACCTTCATTTTGGATAATGGTATTATTACTTAGTCTCTTATTTTATAAACGTTTTACTTTTTTGCAAAATTTTGTAAAATTTTAGCACTCTAATTTTTTTAGTGTATTTTTTATGTCTTCGTAATATAATATTTTATAAATAAAGAAGTATCAGAAAAAAAATTGTAAATTCAGGCTTCAATCTTAAGAACTATAAGGAGGAGATTTACTCTTTTCTGTCCCTCTAATTCCATTTGTTCTCACGACTTTTGTCCTTTTTTCATTTCAAATTTTAGCAAAAATGGATGGAGTTGTTTCCTACAATCGTTTCTAGAGCAAAAATTGTCCAAATTATATCTTCTGGCGCTTCTGGTCATGCAAGCGGGACTCTTCAGCTGGTAGGTGTCAAATTGCTATGTACACATTGAAATACTAGTGCCCCATAATTTTGGTAGATTATTAATATATATTGATTATATTTTGTACAGATGTACGCAGAGTTTCAAGTTCTTTCTCCTTTGGTGTCAACTCGCGAGACTCATTTTCTTCGGTATTGTCAACAAAATGCTGAGGAGGGAACCTGGGCCATTGTTGATTTTCCTGTTGATACCTTTCACCATAATTTTCACCCTTCTTATCCTAGATACTATAGGAGGTCCTCTGGCTGTGTGATTCAAGATATGCCAAATGGGTATTCAAGGGTAAGTACTATTTCTAAAGTATTGTCATGAGTTCCGATTTTTACAAAGTTCACGTGGTGCTTAAAATTATTTCAATTCGCACATTTTATAGTGTGTGTACCTTTAGTATAATAATCTTTTTTGGACTATATATGTGTATCTATATGCAGGTAACTTGGGTTGAGCATGCAAAAGTAGAAGAGAAACCAGTGCATCAGATATTCTGCAACTATGTCTACAATGGAATGGCATTTGGAGCACGTCGCTGGTTAGGGGTTTTGCAAAGACAATGCGAGAGGGTCGCCAGCCTCATGGCCAGAAACATATCAGATCTTGGAGGTTCTCAAAATCTCATCTACCTTTATCTTTGTTGCAGTAACTTCAATCAAGTTATATTAACTCTTTTTAATAAATAAGTGAACTAAAAGATGGACTAATGGATGGAAACAAAATCACCTAAAACTAAATAGGGAAACTACTTCTGCTGTAGAATCGGCTACAAAATCAATTAGGTAATGTTATTTTTACAACAAAATTTTACAATATATTTTTTTCTATTTTTCTTTATCATACCATTCATATTATTATCTGACATTTCTCTCTCTTCTTGTTCTATCTCTCTCCTCTGTGTAAAAATTTGTTGTAACAATAACATTAACTCAAGGCAGATATAATGTTGAACTACTATGATATGTGACATGACACATTTATTCTATGTTAATTGCAGTGATACCTTCACCAGAAGCACGAAAGAACTTGATGAAACTAGCACAAAGAATGATAAAAACGTTTAGCCTTAACATGAGCACTTCGGGGGGTCAATCGTGGACGGCTATATCAGATTCACCTGAAGACACTGTTAGAATCACAACTAGGAAAATCACAGAGCCTGGCCAACCTAATGGTGTGATTCTAAGTGCAGTTTCAACCACTTGGCTTCCCTATTCTCATACCAAAGTCTTTGATCTCCTCAGGGACGAACGCCACAGATCTCAGGTAGCATAAACCACCATTAACATCCAATCATGAATTGTTTACAAACCAATCGTCAACAGTTAACGACACCATATATATCCAACTTGTTTCTTGCAGATGGATGCTCTTTCCAACGGCAACTCATTGAATGAAGTGGCTCATATTGCAAATGGCTCACATCCAGGAAACTGCATTTCCCTTCTTCGCATAAATGTAAGATCATTTGTCAAATTGGAGAGTTTTTTAATTGATGTGAAATATCTAATTAAAAAGCAAGAGAAAAGTTTTTTAAACGAGTAAATACACAAGCTGATATTTAAAAGTAATATTTCATTTATCTTTTATCGTTGAATATTTTATTTTGTATAGTTGGCTCCTCAATTGTGTCAATTTACTCATATTTTAATTTCTTTTGATAACTAATTATTCTGCAAAAATGTAAGTGTATCTATAATTTGGTGTCTGACTGTTACTTCTATTTTATTTGCATTTTCATGAGAGAAGGATCAAAAAATGAGGGAGTTAACACATAAAAATTTAAATACAAGCTCAGTTCAAGAGTGTAAGAAAGAGTGGGTTTAAGTTTGAATGATTTCTCTATCTAAAGCGTCTTGATTATTTATATTCAAGTCTTTCTTGTATACTTTTAACTCATTGCTATTTCTCACAATGCTTAAAGAATAAATTGTATAAAATAAATTTCTTAAGAATTTTAAGAGTCAAATTATATATTTATTCTTTTTAAACGTTAGGATTTGTTACATGCATATGCAGGTAGCCAGCAACTCATCCCAAAACGTAGAGCTAATGTTGCAAGAGAGTTGCACCGATCAGTGTGGAAGCTTAGTAGTGTACACCACCATCGATGTGGATTCGATCCAGCTAGCGATGAGTGGGGAGGATCCATCATGCATTGCCCTTCTTCCACAAGGGTTCATGATAGTCCCAATGGTATCATCATCAGGGAATGATGATGCCAATTCATCTGCCAATTCAGGTTGCCTTCTAACCATGGGTCTCCAAGTTCTCGCAAGCACAATCCCTTCTGCAAAACTCAACCTTTCAAGCGTTACGGCCATCAACAACCACCTTTGCAACACCTTGCACCAAATCGAAGCTTCCCTTTCTAGCTGCCATGAGAATGGAACTTTTGTTGGGTCTTGCACTGAACCCACCACTAGTGCTCCCTCAAAGCAATGAAAAAAAGTCACTAAAATACTGGATGCATGTGTTGGAACTTTAAGTGTGCATGGATTGAGGGGTAGTAGGAAGAAAAAAAAGGGAAACAAATAAAGATGGATTTGAGTAGGTAGGGAAGTGCATGTGTTGGAAAATGAAGTTGTGTGACATTAGTGGACGTGTGTGTTTAGTTAATTTGTATGGGAGTGATGAGGGTGTGGTAACATATAGTACTATAATTGAGGAACAATGTGGAATGGCATTTTATGTGTGTTGAGGAGTAGAGGGACTGAGGGAGTCAAGAGCGCACCAGATAGTACCCTCACTAGTTAGTAAGGGTGGTGTGGTTCGGGAATTGACTCCTGCTTCTATGTCAGCCTCTACTGTGTTCATTTCAATGATTATCATCATCATTCAACTTAATTCAAGTTTTTATTTTTTGTTAATCTCATTGTCGTTTTCTAAATTGTATCCATCACTTTCACCCCTCCTATCTATTAATCCTTTTGCTTAATAACTATCCAATCTACATCTGTGTGTAATCAGAGGAATGGGAGAGTGAAGAAACAGGGAGGAGACGTAATGCTATCATCGTGAATGGTTAATGTTTCCCCCAACTTTTTCTTTTTTTTGGTAATCGATCAGTCCACGTGCTTCTGAAAATATAACCATTTTTGGAAACAATGAGAGTTGCTTTTTAATGTAAACTATTACAATTTTTGAAAAAAAAATTATCATTATTTTTTATTAGTGGCGTTAAAAGTAAAAGAAAAAAGTTGCAAAGAGCAATATCCATACGTGAGAAAATAAATATATTTATAACTTTGGACTTGGGCCATCGATTCAGTTTCCTTTTTTTGGACATGTCCAAATGTCCCCGTACGACTCATCAATCTCCACTCATAATTATTTGGGCTTTATTGGGCGTATCTTTGTCTTGGGCTTTCTGCTATTTGGGCCTGTTGATCAGCTATTCTGTCGACCGAAAAAATCCCATCTCGTTCCCACCTCCTATAATTTGTATTCTTTCGTTACCTTTTTCTTTGTGGATTTGTTTTCCACCTTTCATGCCATCAAATTGGTTCTTCTTACTCTAGCTCCAAGCATTGATTTCAGTTTAAAGGCTAATTCTACGACCAAGAGCCCATAACTAATTACTAGTAATTTAGTCTTTAAAAGACAATCTAATAATTGAACATTGAATATTTCTTCTTGAAAGGTTAACGTTTGAATCTTATTATAATATTGTAATCATCAAAAGGAGGAGGGCGGGGGTGGGGTGCACTTCCTTTGTAATAATTTTTAGTTGACAAGTTTTTTCTCTCAATTCATCAGTAAATATTTGATGTTATGTTAATTTATATTTTTCTTCCACTAAAAGCTACAATTCCTCCTTCCCCCAAATTTTTTATTATGTGAGATTTTCTTTGCTAGGCAATTTTGCTTTCGCAACTACGCATCTAGTTTGTAGCATTAGGCCTTTGTTCTTTATTCTAGTTCAAGACAATTGAAATGACATGGTCTTAGATTAGTTCTAATAGCGTAGAAAACTTAATAAAATGTTTTATAATTTCGAGGTCTAATACTGAAATTAATAAGTAAGCTTTAAGAGACAGCAGAAAGGAGGGGAGGAAAAGGCATAACTTGAATTTTGACCAAGATTCTATGCATGCTTAAGCATGCCATGCAACACTTCTTAAAGCAAAGAAGAAAGACGGAGGAGATGATTGAAGCTGAACCTCAAACAATGACATCGAAAGTAGAAGATTCCCTGAATGGAATGAGTATCTGTCGTTTAGGCAATGGCCAACCAAGACATTCATAATTAAGGGCAGATTTTGAGTAGTTGTCGTTTTGATTTTGACTGATTCAACAAAAAAGATGAGGTCCAAGTCATGGTCTTTGCCTAACATAAACACAACATCACTGTCTAAAAAACAACTCGGTCAAGGTTTCAAGTGTGTCAGCGTTTTAGCCATTTGAACCAATCTTAAGAAGTTGAAGACATTCATTCTTAACATCTTTATTAAAGTCATAGATGGTTGGTTTCACACATTCAATATATTAAAGGGACAAGTGGCCAAATGATTGAGGCTATACAAAATTGTCTCTGGGTCGTGGGTCACACCCCCTCCCCCTGTTGAAATTTTAAATACTTTTGCTAACTTGTAAGGCTATTTCATTTCATATGCTATCCAATTGAGATTTAGGTGCCAATTCCACTACTGCCAGTGGTTTCAATTCTTCCTTTTTATCTATATAAATCCAATTGTTTGAATTCGTCTACAAGTTCAACACACGTGTTCTAATGTAAAAGTATTTTGAATATCTTATAGAAAAATACCACTTTCAAAGGTAAAACTGAGATTTTATTTTGTGCTGGAAAGTGACTAAATATTAATTAACCTCTTAAATGGTAGGAAACTTAGAGTCAAATTTAATATAAAGGGTCAATTATTTTAAAATTTAAGTTCTTACTGAAGATCCATAAATAATTTATACATCTCAATTCTTTTTAATATACTAAATAACCAAGTTTTTGTATCTTCATCGCGGCAGAATGACAAACTTGTTCCTATTTTTTTACCCAAAAAAAAATCATTTATTGAAATATTATGAAATTGAAGAAAATAGATTTATCAAAAACAAATAGAAAAAGCTGGCATCGCTGATGAGTGAAGGAATCAAGAAAAATGCCTCAAGAGTAGAAGAGGAAGGATGATCCAACATCACATCAACAAATCCACCACTACTGGTAGAATATTAATGTGAACCGCACATACCCCAGGTGGATTCTGATAACCAAAACTACAACCAACAAAACAACATTGAAAGTTTACCTTGCATGGTGTGTAGGTAGGGAATTGGAACTTAATATTTAGGCCAAAAATTAGGTAGAGGTAACCGAAGCTGTTAGATAAACTTAATGTGATTTAACCTTATTCTGTACATTGGACCCCATATAAAATTGAACTAAGCATATATGCGTATGAAATCTGGTGGCAAAACCCACACAACCTAAACCATATATACTGGGCCATTAAATGGGGCTTGTCACTATAGAGAACATATAATTGATTCCATGGAATAAAAAGAAGTGGGGTTAAGTAAAAGTGCTATGTGAGCAGTGACCGCGCAGACAAAGGAGCACTTCTTTTTCTTTTTTCCTTTTTTTCAGATGTGGCTGTGAATGATAGGTTATTCTCAATGTGTAAACACCGTGGCTCTCAACCAAATGTGGACACAAAACTTAGTTACATTGTGCACCCACAAATGTTAAAAGTTCAAAAGTTGGCCTCAACTTTAATTTCCTTTTTAGCTACCCCCTCAATACGTGGTGGCTTCCCTTGCCATAAATAAATCCTACCTCCTTAGCCATGAAAAATACACCTTCACTCCCTTCTCTGTGAGCTCATTTCTTTATTATTCTCTTTCACAACGTGTGACTGCAATGTTCCAACTTCGATAAACGAATTTTATTTTTGCACATGTTCTTTTGGTTCTTTTCCCATATGGGATACACTACAGAGTATATTTTATCAATCAAATTTCAGAAGTTTGTAAAAGGTACATGTAAACGTAAACTACACATGGATGAGACGCAAGCTTTGGAAACGTGGATAGTATTAAAAAAAAGGGAGATAATACAAGGGGCCTAGAAAAGTTGGAATCAGGTGAAAATTCAAAGATTTGGTCAGCCAGTGGGCTTGAAATTGTAGCTCTGAAAAGCTTGTGTCCAATGACTCTCTTCCACTCTAATTCACAGACACTTTTTTTTAATAAATGTTTTTATTGTGTTAGATCACTTATTATAATTTTCTTAGTAAATAACATTGCAGAAAAAATTTATTTTAGTCTTTAATTTTTAAAAATAATTAAACATTATTTTGTAAGTTGAAGAAATGTTAAAAGGCTAAAATATAATTTTTTGCCGTTTAATCTTTCACTAAATGCATATACCCAATAAGGAAATGACAACCAAATTTCTTTCTTAACTGAATATTTTCCAATCGCAGGTGGGAAAGAGTAAAGGGCATGCTTTTAGGTCAGAGATGATGACTGGTTTGGGTAAGCTAGCTTTCTACGTGTCTGCTGGCTTTGGATTTTGTCCGAGTCTCCTCTTCCTAGTTGTGAACCCAACGTACGTAGTCAAATTCTGCTCTCAATCAATTTCAAAACCTTGTACTTATTCATAACATGCACAATATATATCTTAGAATAAGATAGTGAATGTGATCTTTATTGAAAATGAAGTTTGTCCACGTTCTCACTTTGAAAGGGATCCTTTTTCTTTCCTTTTCTGTGCCTAGCCATTTTTCTGGGTTTTCAGGAAATCAATTCCCACTTTTGGTTAGTTCATAAAAGGATAATATTTAATATTATGCCATGTTTTTTTATTTTATACATTATTCAGCGGAATTTCTACAGTAAATCTTGTAAGTTGGTCATTGCGTCTCGCATTACTTTGCACATGCCAACGACTTTAACCAATAATTGACCTTATTAAATGCTTATCACACTTGATTAGAGAATATTCTTCAACGGTTTTCATATTATTTCATAGTACATGGTTAATCACATAGATCAATTAGTTGACTTGTCAAAATTAACCTTGAACACGGTTTTCTCACTCTGTCTCAACAAGAAAAGAAAATCCAATTTTGGCTTCCTATGTGCCCTTTTGGTGTTCTCTAGGTCTCTTTGACATTGACCAAACAGCGACGCGGCAACAGGTTCAGTTGTACTTAAACCCATTGTTGAGACACAAGATTCAATTTGATTAAATAAATATTCATATATATTCCCTGAACCTTCAAAGTAATCTTTCTCTGTCTCTTCTTCTTTGATATTATTGCTTTCTCTGTTTCATTTTGCTTCCTGCGGTTTAAAACAAAAGAAACATTAGGCCATTGTGATTTGGAGGAATTGGACGAGGAGGAGCATGTACTACCAAAGGAAAATATTATTATTATTTTCAATAAAGAGTTACTATTTTATATGTTTGAAATCAAATTTAAATAATGAAATTAACAAATAAAAAATTATTTATTAGTAGTTTAAAATTAAATTAGTGACCATTATTATAATTTTTTCTTATAAAAATTATATTAGTAAAATAAATATTATAAATTAATGTTGATATTACAGTATATAATATTAACAAATAGTTTAATATCATATTATTAATATAGATTCTAAAAATTTATATTAATCATTTAAGTTGACTAAACCATTATTCTAATATCGGAAATAGTAAGTATAAACTATTTTAATTTTTAAAATTTTTAAAATATTACGTTAGTGTTTGATTTCTATTTTTATCAAATATTTTAATTCTTAAACTCAAACACGTTGAAAGACATAATAACAAACTATTGAAATGTCATGTAAAATGACAAGTATAAAAATCAAATTAGCAAAAAATAACATTATTTTACTATTTAAACAATTGTCTCATAGAT